GCCATTACACAAACTCCAGCTTACTTCGGCCGCTGTACTTTCCCCAGCTGACCAATGAAAGAAGTCTTTGGCTGCTAAGATCGGACTGCTGAATCTTGTCACAGGTCAGGCAGCAGTTCTCATGGCCTCCTACTGGAACCATACACTCTAAGTCCAGTTTGGCCACATGACCCTTGGTGAGGTGTTGGCCATGAAAGCTGTAATGAAGGCGAGACAGCATTTCTCGCCGTTGTTGTCGCAGTCTGCGGTTTTCGCTGCGAAGCATATGCAGGGCAAGCATGATGAGGAGAACCAAGATGAGGCCACCAGCAATTGGTACGGTGATGACCGCAGCACGGAACCATACCTCCTTGGAGGAAGGGATTTCCTGTAGTCGCGCAATCACGTGGTGGCTGCCTTCGGTTTGATGTCGTCGTTTGTCTGAATAAGAACAGAGAATGTTTAGAGCCATATTTTTATGTAGCAATTAAGAAAAACATTGACATACATTTTTAAATTGTATGATACTCTGTGGTACACAAAAGAAGATATTTTAAAGAATGTTTCAATGTTTTTGTCCATACAATGAAAGTCAATGGGGTATAAAACAACATTGGAGAATTTTTTTTCTTTCTAAAAGAGTCATACAGATTGTAACAACATAAGGGTGAGAATTTTGGAGTGAACTAACCATTTAAATGAAATTTATTCTGTTTCACATCCATCTATCAATCACAGAGGGAAAGTTGTTTTTAAATATCGTACATTTGATAATGAAGCTCCAGTTCAGATCTTGCATCCCCATGTGCCCATGCACAGTAATATTATTAGAAACCAGCATGGCTGATAAAGTAAAACAATTGAGATGCAACTGATATTCTGAAAATGAGCAACTTCTCAACTTCTTTTTTATTATTATTATTTTTTCTTTTTTTAAATATTTTAAACGTTTCCTTTCACAACATGTGCAAGGAATCAATGCACAAACAGTGCTGTGAAAAAGGTTTTGCCCCCTACCTGTTTTTTTTTTTTTT